TATATTATGAAAAAAATTTATGGATTTAAAAATGCTTTATAGCGAAACAAGCTCTTCTTTTAATTCCATTTTCCATAAACTTTTTTAATTTCTTTCATATTTCTAAGATAGGAAATTATGAAGTGAACTTTGGGGACATTGAATTTGAATTTCTTAGAAAATACCATATGGAGAAACCCAGCAGACATTGGGTAACATATTAGAAAGCTTGACAGAGATGTTTGCATTAAAGATACAGGTTTGGCAGTTTATATTTTTCTTTTGCTTTGTGACTACCATGAACATAATGGCTTTAAACAACACAAAATTATTATCTGATCATTTTTGTGAGTCAGGAGTCTAGGCATTGATTAGCTGGGTTCTCTGCTCTGATTCTCATCAGGCTGAAATCAGGCTGGGGCTACAGTCTCATCTGAGGCGTGGGATTCTTTTCCAAGCTCATTGGTTGTTTGCTGGCAGAATTTAGTTCCTTACAGTTGTAGGATTTAGGTCTCGGTTCCTAGAGGCCATTTGATATTCCCTGTCATGTGGTCTTTTTCCGTAGTTGATTTCTTCACATTCAACAGAAAGTACCTCTGCCACTTCATAGCTGTCTTATTTTAGTGCTTGCTTGATTGATTTTGAGATGGAGAGAGTGAGTGTGTGAGTGAACTCCCATTTGCTGTTCACTCCCTAAATGACCACAACATCTGAAGTTGGGCCAGGCAGAAGCTGGGGCCTAGAACTCAGTCCAGGTCTCCCTTGCGGGTGAGAGATCCAAGTACTTGAGCCTCCTCCTAGAGTGTGTATTAGCAAGAAGTTGGAATTGGAAGTGGAACCTGGCTTGAATCAGGCCCTTCCTTGTGGATGCAGGCATCCCAGTGGTGTTTTTAACCACTGTTCCAAACTGTTCTGCATGAGGGGGATTTATTGTCTTGCATGGGGAAGTCCTCTGAATCTTCTGCAAACAAATGTGAGGAGTGCAGCTTTTACTAGGCATTGGAGGGCCACTTCTGTAGACTCGGAGGGCCCAGGGGGATCTGAAGATACAAGATATTTGGGAGCATCAGCTCACATATGTGTCAGAGTGTTTCCTAGCTAGAGCTCTGATCTTGGCATAGCAGACCTGCTTTGTTTGAGAGTTTAACCTTCTAGGAAGCTCGCTTGCTTGCTCCCTTTCTCTCTCATATATATATATATATATATACAGACACACACACACACACATATATATATTCTCTCTCTCATTTCTCTTTGCCCTTACATCTCGTTTCTGAGATGAGAGAGAGAATATATATATATGATATATATAATATATATCATATACATACATATACACATAGGTATCATCTACATATATAAGAGAGAGTATTATTTCATAGGAATGAGGTCTACACATGGATAGTAATTAAGTACTGGTTCTGATCACTAGGTTTCTCTGCCCCACTGCTGCAGGAGAGAAGAGCCTCTGCGATTGTTTTCCGAGAGGAACTCTGGCTTTCAAACTTAACTTTCAGTTAACAGTTAATCAGCCTTTTTTTTTTTTCTGTTGTGTTTTTTCCCCTTAGAGACCAAAGAGTTTAGCAATATTTGTCCAGTTCCATTGTTTCTATTTGCTGCTTCTACTTCATTGCTGGCTTTAACATCTCATCTTAGCATCTGCTACTAACTGCCCTGGAGGCCAAGCCGTTCCTTTCGTGTCAACACCTGGGAGAAAGGAAAATTGGGCACTGCAGGCTCAGCAGCAGCTTTGACTGATCCCCATGGGAGCTGTGGAGCTGGACTGACCCTTCCAGGTTGCTCAGGATGACCAGTAATTGCAGATGGGCTACCCGGGAAGGATGTGACCTGGGCGAGGCTGCTGTCTGCAGCTGAGGCCATCTCGGAGGGGCTGGCTGCTCCCAGCAGTTAAGGCAGCAGCGCCTTCCTTGAAGGGAGCTAGGCGGCACCTCAGTGTGTGCCACAATTTCTTGTAGCCACCAAGTAACCAACTTGTTTTTTAACATTATTGTGAACTCAGGGACTTAAATACTTATATTTAGCAAGGATTTTGTGAACTTTTACATAGAGAAAAGTGTGCAAATTGTAAATGGACAGCCCAGTAAATGTTCACAAAGTAAACCCAGCATTATAACCAGTACCTAGATGGAGAAATCAAAGCACGTTGACAGGCCCCGTGTGGCCTTCTCCCCTGTGCTTCCTTCCAGTCACCGCCTTTCAGGGTCTCTTCCGTCCCAGCTTCTGTCTACAGTCACAGAATGAGGCTAGTGTGTTTTTGAACTTTAGGTTCCATAATCATACAGTGTGTCTTCGGTTCTGACTTCTGGCCTTCTTCAGCCTAGAGCTGTTGTTTATTCTTATGGTGATACAGTTCTTCTTTGTGTAAATATATTACTTAAAGACATTGCTGCTGCTGATAGACATTTGGGTTGTTTTCAGTTTTTGGCCATTATAAAAAATGCTGCTGTAAATATTGTCTCTGTTTTTGGCGAACACACATACATACTTATTTTGAGTACATACCTGGTGAATTGAATGAGTGTGTGTGTTCATTTGTAGTAGATAATGCCAAATTTCAGGGTAGTTACTGAATTATACCTCTACTAATAGCAGATAAAAGTTTCAGTTGCTGTGGTTTGGCCCTGTTAGAAAATGCAGCCTTCCTTCCACGCAAGGCTTACAACTGAGGGTTGTGTGTATTTACTAAGGTATCTCCACTGGAAGGTTCTGAACACTCATCTTTTGTCTTCTTGAGGCTGTAAGATATTCAGACTCTTCTCTACTTTTCAGAAATTTTGGCTTAACCTTTTACCTGTGTTTGCCTTTTCCATAAGCCTTTGAAACCCGTCATGTCTTCAGCATTGTCACCAGCCATCCGTTCCCTCAGAAGCTCTGATGGTTTCTTTTTTCTTGACAGAGGGCCTTTGCTGAGAACGGCCTTATTTCTCCAGGTCTTTTTCTGCCCAGACTCTTCAAATGCCCCAGGGAAAAAGCAGCTGCAGAAGATCCTTACTTCACCACAGTTCACCCCATTTTGGAATCTTAGCTGTAGTCCTCATTCCTTCGGGAGCTCTCTGAACTCCTTTAAACAGACGATTTTTGTATTTCATCTGTTTAAAAAATATTTAGGAGAAAGAGATGTTGTTTTGCTACAAATTACTTCCTTCTGCCTGGGAGCAGAAGTATGGATTTAAGCCTACATGATCAGTTTAAATAAGTTGTAATTGCTTTCCTTAACAAAGTTCAAATTAGTCCACTTTTGGCCAATAGAACCCTCTTTAAAATTTAAAAAAATCATTTCTGAGTCTTTGACGTGGCCCTTATTAGTCTGTTGCTGTCTGCTGTGACAAGATACGCCTGACTTATTATGTACCATTTTGCCCCAGACACGGGATCAGTAATTTCCTAAAGGATTCTAGATTCTTTTTACTTGAAATGATATTTCAAGATTACAAAGCAGGGGTTAAGGTTGTTTATTACTATGAGATTGGTACATTGTTTTTGGGCATTTTCAGTGGGTGCAAGAATTTGTTTTCTTGATACAAGGTAAAATACATTGAGTTCATGTAGCTACTTTGAATTTCAATTAAGACTATAGGGGTGGATGTTTGGCCTAGTGGTTAAGATGCTGGTTCAATACCTGTGTTCTGTATTGGGGTGCCTTGGTTTGATTCCTGGCTTCCATTGGTGACTGCAGCTTCCTGCTAATGCAGACTATGAGAAGCAGTAGTGATGGTTCTGGGAATCCCTTCATGATCTTTATAACTAACATTATGTCATTCTTAGCTTCTTGTTCTGCCTCTTTCTCTGTATCCTAAAAATGTTCTTCTCACTTTTATTGTTTCCTTACTATTAAATTAATCATCTGTAATTAATTAGCAAATGCTGGTGTGCTACTTGATCTCTTTTTGCACCATTTTAAAATGAGGAAGCTGTACTCAGGTTTGTTATTTTGAGAGGACCCTCACCAGCATTCTCTATGAGCATTAGCAGAGTCTAATTAAATAGTAAATATATCCATGATGCTTGAAATACAGAATGCTAGCTTTTGAACAGAGTAGAGATGAACTTCTGTACAGCTTACATCCTCATCAGACAGTGTAAGCATGGTTCCCTCAGAGGATATTTCCCACCACGGAGTTTATCTGGTTGTTGTAGTACACCTTCATTTTTTAGCTGAGGATGGTTATTCTGAGTCAGTCTTCCTGTGTTCCAGTTTCACTGTTCTTATTCTGAACAGTTGGCAGTTGTTACTGATTAGAGGATTGGGACATAGATTTTCGTGATCTGTTGTTTGAATGTTTGGGTTCAGTGTATAACATTAAGGGTTGTATGCATTTTATTGCAGACGTTCTCTGAGATAACTTTCAGCTACAAGGAAATAGCTCTACTTCTGGGAGTCATCATTGCCTTGCATATGGTGCTGGGTGAAGGATTTAATTTTGTAGATAGAGACTTACGACTTCCAAAAACCAAACTACAAAAATTGAAATTTCTTTTTTTAATTAAAACAATTAAATGATTTATTTACTTGAAAGAGTTACAGAGAGAGAGAGAGAGGGAGGGAGGGGGGAAATTTATCTTTCACCTGCTGGTTTACTACCCAGATGGCTGCAACAGTCAAGGGTGAGCCAGGCCAAAATTGGGAGCTGGAAACTTCTGGTTCTCCCATGTGGGTGGCAGGGGCCTAATGCTTGGGCCATCTTCAGTTGCTTTTACCAGGTCATTAACAGGGAGCTGGATCAGAAGTGGAGCAGCTGGGACATGAACTGGTGCCCACATGGGATGTTGGTGTCTCAGGTTGTGACTTTACCCACTTTACAGTAATGCTGGCACCCTAAAATTGAAATTTCTGAAAATGTAAGATTTTCTATAAATTCTATTGAAAATTGAAGCTTGAGGTACAAATATAGATAACTGTGGTTGATAAAATTTTTCTATGCCATGATTTTCAATGAGAAAAATTTATTTTTGGTCATTTTCAAAAATAAGTCTTAACATATTTTTATTTCTTTTTTCAGCTTCCAATAAAAACAGGACAGCAGAACACACATACCAAAGTCAGTACTGAACGCAACAAGGAATGTCTGATCAATATTTCCAAGTACAAGTTTTCTTTGGTTATTAGTGGCCTCACTACTATCTTAAAGAATGTTAATAATATGGTGAGTATTGGGGATACTGTTTTGAGGGGAATTTGCTTTTTGTTTTGGATTTAAAAGTTTAGAGCAGCATATTTTGAAGGATGGGAATAATTTTATGTAGGCTTTGGATGTTATCATTTTCTCATTTTGTGGATGATCCCAGGTAAAAGGTAACCTTTTGACTTTCATTTTAGTTTTTGATTTTTTTTCCTCTCAAAAATATTTCCTATTGGTGACCCTGTTCCTTTTCCAATGTTTTTCTGGAATTAGAATTTTATACAGCTTTTGTATCATACATAAATTAACAGTAGTAATCTGTTACATGCTTTTCTTTAGATTCTTCTTGAATTTAAATATCAGATTGTCCTGATCAGAACTAAATGATAAATGAAGTAAGATTGTGTAGTCCTAAAATTCAGGATTGATGTTATGAAGATACTAATTTTTTAAATTACTTCCATAACAAGTGATAGATTCTGTAATAGAGAACCTGTTACTGAAACAATTTCCTCAAATACCAATTTCAAGTATTTTACTATTTAAAGCTCATAATTGCTTTCCCCTGCATTTTATTTTTAACATTTAAAAATTTTTATTTGAGAGAGAGTATGTGTGTGTTCCCATCTACTGGTTCATCCCCTATATGTCCACAATGACTGGGCTTGTACTAGGCTGGGGCTGAAACCAAGAGTCAGAAACTCAGTCCAGATATTCCACGTGAGTAGTAGGAAACCACTACTTGAGCCATCCTGGCTGTCTTCCAGAGTCCACATCAGCAGGAGGCTGGAGTCAGGAGCGGGAGCCAGGAATCAAAGTCAGGCACTCTGATAGGGAGTGCAGATGTGTTAACCACTAGGCCAAATGATGCCTCCCCCACCACCCATTTTATAAAGTCTGCTGATGTTTTCTTGACATTAAGGCATGCCAGCTGTTCTTCCTCTGTACCTCTGAGTATGTAGCTCTCTTCTCACAGGTGACCCCTTTTCTCTGTCAGTTCTTTTTTCGTTTGTTTGTTTGTTTGTTGACAGGCAGAGTGGACAGTGAGAGACAGAGAGAAAGGTCTTCCTTTTCCGTTGGTTCACCCCCTAATGGCTGCTGCAGCTGGCGCACTGCGCTGATCCGAAGCCAGGAGCCAGGTGCTTCTCCTGGTTTCCCATGCGGGTGCAGGGCCCAAGGACTTGGGTCATCCTCCACTGCCTTCCCGGGCCACAACAGAGAGCTGGCCTGGAAGAGGAGCAACTGGGACAGAATCTGGTGCCCTGACCGGGACTAGAACCTGGTGTGCCGGCGCTGCAGATGGATTAGCCTAGTGAGCCGCAGCACCGGCCTCTCTGTCAGTTCTTGTCTGTCTCTTTCATACTAAGTTCAAACCAACTAATCTGGGTTTTAAAAAAATTAACTCAAAAATTTTCTGCTTGTCTTTCACAGTTGGAATGTGTTTTATTGTTTCTGTTGAGCTATGAAAATAACATCTGGTTGTAGGTTGTGAAGATTGGTCCCATTTTCACAGTTACGTCATCTTTGGTGTGTTTCTTCTTAAGCAGGTTGCTTAGATAATGCCCGAAGCTTAAACAACGTATAAACTGGAGATGTGGGAAATCATTTGCCTTACAAAGCAATTTTGTTCTTTATGTAAAAAATTAAAATAAAAAGCAAGACTTTTCATAAATATGTGGAGTGATTTACAGAAACGTTTAGTACTTTGTGTCGTTTTTTGGCATAGGATTTTGCACATATGAATGTGTGGCCATACTTTGAGTTAGACTGAAATATTTTAATGTTTGGGTCCTTTTCAGAACCAAAACAATATTGTTATACTGGTGGTTGTTGAGTTCTTATGGAATAGAAACCATGGTTTCTTGCTACTGCGTGCCTAAAATTCAGTGTAGTTGGTGCTGTAGCATTATGTTGCTATACAAATTAAGACTTTGATTGATTTGTGGCAAAAAAATGGAATTAAATGCACAGTTCAAGCTTCTGCTACAGACCTGTATATGTGTATCTAAATTTTTGTACATAATTTTAAAGCATAAAGGAAAGTAACATCTTTTATTGGTGCAAGTCTCTTGGCAGACTGATAAATGCCAAAATTTCTCTTGACCTGAGTATTTAAAGTGTGTGAGCCATTAGGATAAAATCAGAAATGATAGATTTAAATAGAGTATAATCTGGAGGATTAAATGGAAGATTATTGGTTTTCTTTCTTCTCCATCCTTCATTTTTCAAATACATGCTGATTCGTAGTGGATAATGATAACCAACTTTCATGTTATGCTTATCTTTTCTTTCAGAGAATATTTGGAGAAGCTGCTGAAAAAAATTTGTATCTTTCTCAGTTGATTATATTGGATACACTGGAAAAATGTCTTGCTGGGGTAAGTAAATCCATTCTTATATAGGGAAGTTTTGAGAATGATCTGATGTTCCAAAGTTAGATGTGGAATCATGTGGACTTTGTGTCTGAGACATGTGCTTATGAATTTTGTTAATGCAGCTGACCTGTTGGCACAGATAAGTTTTCAGGAAAAAAATATTCTGTCTTCTTTTGTAAATTAAATAGACACTAAGTTTACTTTGAAGTGTTAAGTTTCAGCTACATGTTTGTCAGGTTTTTTTAGAAGAGAGTTCTTGAAGAAATCATTATTGATTTAATTAAATTTCTAAGATATTGTTGGGGCTCTGGCATTGTATAGCTGTGAAAGAATGTGATTCAGAAGACCAAAGGTAATCTTGTTTTTTCTCCTATTTGAAAATATTAATAGTCTAACTTTCAAGTCTATATAAAAGAGAGCTTAAGTATTAAACCTATGCTATTAAGGATATAAATACTGCCTGAAAAACACTTGTCTTGTATAAATGTGGATCTGCACAAGTGTAATAGGCATATGGAAGAGTAGTTGGGGAGAGCTTGTTCCAAGATGGTGGAATAGGGAGGGAGCTTACTGCTCTAGCCTAAGAGAAGATAGTTTTTAAAAGAAGTGGAGATAGTGTAGTCTCAAGGAAGAGCTAGGGAAAAAATGGCAGAGGGAACTCTACTGAAATTAGAGGGACACGATGGATCTAGATGGAGGGTGTGGGCACCCATGGCTTGGGACTTCAACCACTGAGAGCCTATGCACCAGTGCTGGAAGTGAGGTGAGAAGAGACTACAGTAGCCCGGGCCACTGGCAAAAAAGCAGTAGGAAGAACCTAGAGGGAATGAGGCTTGAAACCCCAGGAGGGAAAGTACACCAGCCTAACTAGAGGAGAGAAAAAAATAAAAAGGATGATATGAACATGGTTCTCTCTCTCCAATCACCTTACAAAGTGTATGAGCTGATAGAGTGGGTGCCATTTTAGACATATGTAACAGCTGTGCCAACTCGTGTCTACGCTTGGCAATCAGCCGGGTGGAGAAACCTGATTTTGGTGGGGAGTAATAACAGGAGGCTAAGACCTAGTGAATGTGTGGAGTTTCTGAACCCAGACTGTGGAAAAAAGAAAACAACTGAGGGTGTATGAGAGAACTCATGGTGTGGCTGAGACTTTGAGTAGCCTTGGTTGGAGACGCCACAACCCCTGGTGGCCCTGGCTACTTGGTGAGAGACATTGCAGAGTAATATGAACTTACACTGAGGGCTGAACAGATCCTTTGTGTGGTCCTTGGGACAGAGCAGATGAATATTATACTCAGTGAGGCTAGCACTCAGGCACAGGTCTCCATCAAGAAGAAGAGCTCAGCTTAGCAGAATACTTGCCTTCTGATTGAAAAAAAGAGAAGATTTACTGTGCCAAACTTGGGTGTGTCACCTTAGGCACACCATAACCCTGGAGAACAAACAAAGCTCTCTGGCCACACCCACTACAAGCCTCTAGATATTCACCGAAAGCAGACAGTCCACTTATCTATAGAGTCATAGTTCAATGATAAAAGCTGCCACAGCAGGGGGAAAAAAAAAAGAAGAAGAAACCAGTGAGTATCTCCACAAATGCTGAACAACAACAAATGCAAAAATCCAAGGAAAAAAAAAAACAAGGAAGACAACATAATGCTCTCAAAAGAACACAACACTTAAATACTAGATTATGAAGACCATGAGATAGAAGAAATACAAGAAGTGGAACTCAAAAAATTGATCATAAGATTACAAACGCAAATGCACGAACAGCTGGTCTCTCATGCAGGTGCAGGGCCCAAGCACTTGGGCCATCCTCCACTGCCTTCCTGGGCCACAGCAGAGAGCTGGACTGGAAGAGGAGCAACCAGGACAGAACCGGCGCCCCAACTGGGACTAGAACCCGGAGTACTGGTGCCGCAGGCAGAGGATTAGCCTAGTGAGCCGCAGCGCTGGCATGAAATTGAAATCTTAAGGAGGAATCAAAATGAAATAAAGAATTCAATAGAACAAATAAAAAATGGAGAGCCTTAAAAAAAAAAAAAAGAATCAGTGAGGCAGAAAAGAGAATATCAGAATACAGAGCATGGGAAGGTATACAGTCAAATGCAAGAAAAGAAGAGGAAATTAGAAATATAAAAACACTGTTGGGAATCTATAGGATACTATTAAAAAAAAAACCTAACATTGGGTTTTAGGAGTCTCTGAAGGCATGGAGAGAGAGAAAGGATTAGAAGGCCTTTTTAAGTGAAATACTAGCGGAAAACTTCCTGGGTTTGGAGAAAGAAAGAGACGTAGAAGTACAGGAAGCACACAGAACTCCCAGTGGACACGACCAGAAAAGATCCTTGCCATGACACATTGTAATCGAACTCACCACAGTGAAACATAAAGAGAAGATTCTAAAATGTGCAAGACAGAAATGCCAGATTACTTTCAGAGGATCTCCAATTAGACTCACAGCAGACTTCTCATCAGAAACCCTACAGGCTAGGAGAGAATGGTGAGATACAGCCCAAGTCCTAAGAGAAAAAAAACTGCCATCTCAGAATATTAAACCCTGCATAGCTCTCATTTGTGAATGAAGGTGAAACAAAGACCTTTCAAAACAAACAGAAAATGGAAGAATTTGTAAGCACTTGTCTAGCCCTGCAAAAGATGTTTAAAGATGTTTACACACAGAAACACAAAAACATGGTCATTACTACAAAAGAAGGCAAAGGAAAAAAATCTCTCAGTAAAAGTTCAAAGGATCACTTTTCAGTTAAATTTAAACACCTAAGAGTAATTGTGTGTTAATCTAAGAGTTCAACCAATAGAACTGAAAAGTGATCCCTGTTAAATATATGAGTGGGAATAAGAGAGGGAAGAGATGTACAGTTTGGAACATGCTCAGTCAGACTTGCCCCAAACGGTAGAGTTAGAAATGTACCGGGAATTCCAATTCAATCCCATCAAGGTGGCATGTACCAATGCCATCTCACTAGTCAAAGTGATCAGTTTCAGCTCACAATTGATCATAATGATAGGATTAAGAGTCAAAGGGACCACATAAACAAGACTAGTGTCTACTAATACTAACTCATAGAATTAAAAAGGAGAGAACGATCCAACATGGGAAGCAGGATACACAGCAGACTCATAGAATGGCAGATGTCCTAAACAGCACTCTGGCCTCAGAATTAGCCCTTAAGGCATTCGGATCTGGCTAAAGAGCCCATGAGAGAATTTTAGGCATGGAAAGCCAAGACACTCTGGAAAAAAAAAAAAAAGGCAAGATCTCTGTCAGTGAGATCTCAGTGGAAAGAACAGTCCATCAAAGAAAGAGGTACCTTTCTCTGAAGGTAGGAGATAACTTCCAATTTGACTATGACCTTGTCTAAATAAGATCAGAGTTGGCGAACTCAAGAGGCTTCCATAGCCTTGGCAACTCATGACAAGAGCCTGGGGTGATTACTGACGCCATAAACAAGAGTGTCAATTTGTTAAGTCCACAACAGGAGTCACTGTGCACTTACTTCTCACGTAATATCTCTGTCCTTAATGTGTTGTACAATGTGAATTAATGCTATAAATAATACTCAAACAGTATTTTATACTTCGTGTATCTGTGTGGGTGCAAACTGTTGAAATCTTTACTTAATATGTATTAAATTGATCTTCTGTATATAAAGATAATTGAAAATGATTCTCGGCTGGCACCATGGCTCACTTGGCTAATCTTCTGCCTGTGGCGCCAGCACCCTGGGTTCTAGTCCCGGTTGGGGCACTGGATTCTGTCCTGGTTGCTCCTCTTCCAGTCCAGCTCTCTGCTGTGGCCCAGGAGTGCAGTGGAGGATGGCCAAAGTTCTTGGGCCCTGCACCCGCATGGGAGACAGGAGGAAGCACCTGGCTCCTGGCTTTGGATCGGCGTGGTGCGCTGGCCACAGTGTACTAGCCATAGTGGCCATTTGGGGGGCAAGCCAATGGAAGGAAGACCTTTCTCTCTCTCTCTCTCTCTCTCTCTTTCACTGTATAATTCTACCTGTCAATAAATAAATAAATAAATAAATTAAAAAGAAAATCTTGATGTGAATGAAATGGGAGAGGCAGCGGGAGATGGTAGGGTTGTGAGTGGGAGGGAAGTTATGGGGGGGAAAAAGCCTCTGTAATCCAAAAGCTGTAGTTTGGAAATTTATATTTATTAAATAAAAGTTTAAAAAAATTCAAAGGAAATTCAAAGTAAAAAATAGAAATATTTTTGGAGAAATGGTAGGGTAAAGTCGTTACTAATCAATAGTCACATTGAATGTAAATGGCATCAACTCTCCAGTTAAAATACAGACTGGCTGATGGATTAAAAAATAAAACCCATGTATTTGCTGCTTACAAGCAACACATCTCACCAACAAAGATGCATGCAGACTGAAATTGGAAGGTTGGAAAAAGTGTCCCATGCTAACAGAAACCAAAAAAGAACTGGCAAAGCAACTTAATATCAGACAAAATAGACTTTAACACAAAAACTGTTAAGAGAGACAAAGAGGGGCACTATATAATGATTAAGGGATCAATTCAACAGGAAGATGTAACTATTTATAAACGTATATGCATTTAATTACTGGGAGCCTGGTTATTTAAAAGATGTGTTAAGAGATTTAAAGGGGGACTTAGACTCCAATACAATAGTACTGGGGGACTTCAGTACTCCACTTTCAGCAATGGACAGATCAACCAGATAGAAAATTAACAAGGAAACAGCAGATTTAATCGACACCATAGACCAAATGTATCTAACAGATATCTACAGAACTTTTCATCCTACAGTTGGAGGATACACATTCTCCTCAGCAGTGCATGGAACTTTCTCTAGGATTGACCATCTACTAGGCCATAAAGCAAGTCTCAGCAAATTAAAAAATAATCAAAATCATACCATGCATCTCCTTGGAGCACAATGGAATAACACTGGAAAACAGCAACTCAGGAATCTCTAGAGCATGTGCAAACACATGGAGACT